GAGGAGGAGGAGGAGGAAGGAGGAGGAGGAGGAGGAGGAGGAGATTGGATTTATACCCCGCCCTTCACTACCCAAAGGTGTCTCAGAGCGGCTTACAAACTCCTTTCCCTTCCCCTCCCCACAACAGACACCCTGTGAGGTGGGTGGGGCTGAGTGCTCTTTTTCAAGGACAGCTGTGCCAGAGCTTGTGACTGACCCAAGGTCACATCAGCAGGTGCAACTGGAGGAGTGGGGAATCAAACCCGGTTCTCCCAGATTAGAGTCCACACACTTAACCACTACACCAAACTGGCTAGATACCAAGTCACACACACACATGACATAGACAAACTGGCAAAACTCCTTGAAGCTGGTCTGCCAGTTGGATATGTCAGCTATCTATGTGACCGTTCTGCTATGACAAAGTCTGTCTCCTTCAAAGACATTTTCTTTTTTATATATAAATATAAATTATTTCCGCAACTGTATTCCTGTTTGCCTGGTCCTGCTCCTCCTCCCTCTCCTAGGTAAGAAATGCTGCTCTCCTCACATGGTTTTGCATCTCATAGCTCAAAGCAAAGTCAAAGTATAGGCTTCTGCATACTTTGGCTTATTCAACTGTATTTGCATATTTATTATTAAAATTGCATTCATTGTCAGTCATAAGACTGCTGGGAGCACATTCCTTGTTTCTTTATCTCTTCATACAGAGGCTGCTCTTCTGGTAGAATCACCTAAGGATGTCTTCTGCTTTTCTCGAACCTTTGAGGATCTCACCTGTTTCTGGGATGAGCCTGTAAGGACCATGCAGGTGGATAGGGAGTATCGCTTCTTCTACATGTACAAAGGGTAGGAGGCCCTTAACGTGACTCATAAATTTATCCATAGCCCAAGCTGCTTGGGAAAGAACACCACCCAAATAGCTGTCAATAGATGAGTGGGTGGTCTGGAAGAAGCGTGTCTGGGGGGGGTGGGATTTGAAACTCCCTGTTCCCTTTGGACAGGGCCAGGAGAGGGTACAGTGGAGAAATCTGCAGCTCTGTCTGTGATTCTCTGACTTTTCCCATTCATCCCCACAGAGAACAGCACAGAGAATGCCTGCTGACCTCAGAGAGACAGAGTGATGGAAGCTGGCGCCATATCTGCGTCTTTCCCAGTGACCATAATAGTGTCAAACTCTTCATAGAGCTCTATGTTGAGGTGCTAGACAGCTTTACCAATGATACCATTCTATCCCAGAATCTCTCAGTGGAAACTGTTGGTAAGTCTTCCTTCAGATTAAGAAACAAGGAAATGTGGAATGGGTGAAGGCCTTTCTAGGGCATGCAGGAGCCTGCACAGTATCCAGTAACACACAGTGCTATGATGACCAAACTGTGATAGAAGCAACTGCCTAGTCCAATTTCGTGTTCATATACTCTGTTCAAACTAACAATATTAGTGTATCTTCTTTGTGGTCTCTGTGCTTCACACCAATGGGATCTAGTGCGCCTGCGCTGGATCTGCCGGTGCCGTAGCAAGCTCTCTTAAAAGGATTTTTGTGCCTGGCCCAACTGAGCATGCTCAGGAGCCCCAGTGAGCATGCCCAGAAGGGCCGGCACGGACATCCCGCCAGTTCTTTCCTTACCGCCGCGCTGAGCAGACCTGTCTTCGAGAGGTCTGGCCGGATCGCTGTTTTTGGTCACTTTTAGTGATCAGCTCTCGTTTTTTCTCTCAGTTTCTCTTCTGTTTTCCCTTTTCTTGTCGTTTTTTTTTTAAAGGACAGTTTTTGTTTTTCGCCGTCTGAGGTAAAATTACCTCAGGCCTTCGGGCCGCTGTCCCCCCCCCCCCCCCACCCCTCTCCCGCCGTTGGGCTTTTTACCACCAGCCCTTCTCGTCGTTTGGACTTTTTCTTCTTCAGTCTATGGAGAAAAAGACAAAAAAGTTGAAGAAATGGGGGGGTTTTGATCGTTGCCGAACTTGTGGAAGCAAATTGGCTCCTCCGGATGGTCATAAGTACTGTATTTTCTGTCTTGGGGAGA